GGGGTGGGGGTGGGGGGGTGGAGTGGCCAGAGGGAGGGATGGTTGGTGCGCGTGGCGGCCATGGGGGGGGAGGGTTGGCGTGCATAGCAAGCAGGGGACACAGCCCCCAGTATAATTGAATCTTGCACCAGGCCAGTGGTTACTGGCCAACAGTGATGAGGAAGGGAGAAGAGTTTATCATTTCTCATCGGTGATACGGGAAAGGTGCCAGAGAGAAGACCCCAGAGATGAGAGGTCTCATGTGCCTAAAGAGGATGAGCAAAAAGTCTAGTGACGTGCACTGTTGTCTTTTCCTACCTGCCCAAACTCACCTCAGATCCCTTAAAGGGAAGCCTGCCAGCCAGATCTGCCCAGCTGACAAATCAGCCCCAGTACCATGACAGTTGGTATTGTGCCGGGTAGCCCAGACTAACTGAGTTCTCCACACAAATCCCCGGCCAGCCTTGTTTTCAAGCTGCCCACATCAGTGTCTATTTGTCTTTCTTGTAGGTAAGCGCGAGCATGACAACGAGTTGCCCTGGGGGCAGAGGAGAGGTAAACATGTTCTCAGAAATTTATCACAGAAGGAGCCTTAGAAGTGATCCCTCTTGGGCAGGAAACTTACTTGGGGTGGGCGAATGTGGATGGAGTTTTCAAGTCCCATCTCTTTTCCTGCCCAAAGGTTCCCACAAATTTCCCCTCAGGCGTCCACAGTCTGGCGCTTCTGTCTGAGGAGCTGCTGAGGAGGAATGAATCCGAACCGAACATGAAGTGTTCGACGCTCACCACACTGCTGGTATGGCCTCTCCAGCTATACAGTAACGGAGGCTTCTTCAGGCAGCCCTGGACAATGGCGGACACAAGAGAAAATACGTGAGGTGGCTGGCCACTAATTAAAACCTTAAAAAAAATCCCAACATTTAACGAAGACTCCATGCTGCATGAATGGAACCTAGATTGACCCAGTCCAATGAGGCATGAGGTAAGAAGTGGGGTTATTTCTGTGAGGGATGCATTTGATTGGGTCTAGGGGAGCTGGCAGACAAAAGTAAAAGAAGGGGCAGATCCACAGATAGAAGGGGCGGGGCTGGGCAGCCAGTTTTCAGCATCACGCAGAGCACACCACATGCTCTTCAAGCCCCCCAGCCAGTCTTGAGAGCTTCCCAGAGTGCTCTCCATGGTGCTCCAGTAGCAATTTAAAGGGCCTGGGTCTCTAGCTGCTGCCACTCCTGCAGAACTGGAGGTGGTGAACGGGAGCCCCAAGCCCCTATGAATTGCTGAGCCCCGGGGCAATCTCCCCTTTGCCTCCCCCGCCATGTCGGTGGGCCTGGCTGGGTCGGAGCTAACCTCAGATAAAGGGGAGAAATTATATAACAGATTTTTTTTCTGTATTTTATCATCCTAAGACCATCAGTGCAAAACCACTGTATTCATTCCTGACTAATTACCCCAAAGAGATTTAGGCTGTGACCTTGTGTCTGATATCCTTGGCATGGATCAGTGAAACATTTCACCCCTGATCTCCTCAGTTAATGATAAAAGGAAGTCAGGAAAAAGTGAATGCGCCTTGTAGCTAATATGATTTCCAGAGCAGTGCCTGTCACGGAGCACCAGTCCCTGAATCCGAAATGAAGTTCCTCATTATCTTTAATAATGGAGAATAATGAAACCAGTCTCTGGTCCTTACTCAGGCGAGACAGCCTTGGGCTTAATTGGGATGTGTGAGGGAGAGAAGGGGGAAACTAAAAAGTGAACACATGGATAATAGCCCCACTGGGACATTTACATAGTGAACCTAAAATAACTTGTGATTTCATTATGGTAACCCTCCATCTGCCCTTTCCACCTTTCTCCTCTCTGCTGTTTGACTTCACTTATGGGATCAGGAATGGAGTCTGATGTGTTTGGTAAAGCACCCAGCATGCTGTATACACTGTGGGTACTGTACAAATCATCCTATTGTACAATGTGACCAATTCCTGACCTACGCTAGCTGCGGTGTTAGTAAGATACAAAGGCTACGTCTACACTGGCAGCTTCTTGCACAAGAACTCTTTTGCGGAAGAGTTCTTGTGCAAAAACTTTTCCACAAGAGAGCATCTACACTGCCATGTGCTTTTGTGCAAGAGATGTGCTTTTGTGCAAGAGCATCCATGGCAGTGTAGACGCTCTCTTCCTCAAGAAAGCTCTGATGGCCATTTTAACCATAGGGGCTTCTTGCGCAAGAAATTCATGTTGCCTGTCTACACTGCCCTCTTCTGGAAGAGCTCTTGCGCAAGAGGGCTTATTCCTCATGGGGAGAGGAATAACTCTTCCAGAAGAAGCCCTGTTTTACAACGCTCTACTGTAAATTTATTTCTGGAAGAATGCTCGTGCAGTGTAGACAGCCGGCATGTTTTTGCAGAAGAACGGCTTTTCTTCTGCAAGAAGCTGCCAGTGTAGACGTAGCACTCTCAATCACTTGTTTACTTAGCACAGAGGTGGCCAATAATTTTCACAGAGAGGCCACTAAATGAATTTTGGTAGGTAGTCACGGGCTGGTTCCACTCCCCGAAGGGCTGGTTCCAGCCCCCAGAAGGGGTGGAAGAGGTGGGGCTGGGGACTAGCCTCCCCAAAGTGTTGCCTGGGGCCAGAGGCTTTGAATTAAAAACACAGTAAAGGGCTTGTGACTCCTGGTTCCGACACTACCATGTTGCCTGGCAGCCGCCCAGGGTTACTGTGGCTATTTAAAGGGCTTGCAGCTCTGGCCAGGGCAGCATTACAACCGCTAGCCATAAGTCATTTAAATAGGATCCTGCTGCCTGAACCACCGCCAGGAAATTCGGTGGCATGGGCAGCAGGCTATAAATGTAAAGCAGCCAGATGTAGTCCATGGGCCGGATCAAAGTGTTAGGTGGGCCAGATCTGGCCCCCGGGCTGCATCTTGCTCGTCACTGATTTAGCAGGTTGAATTGTATCACTTGCTTTTTGCGTGCGCGGCGTCTATAAGTCCCGGCATCGGAGATTTGGAAGGGAAGCAACTCTAGTGCTCAGCTCGTGGTATTAGTGGAGTCCGAAAGAAAGGAGCACAGTAAAGGCCGAGTTGAACTAATTTTATTTTTTGCGGGCTATATGGGCTCGTGGCTCTCCGATTTTCTCCATCAAGGTGGGTTTTTTCAAATTATGGTGTTCATTGAAGGAAATAAACAGAGTGAACATAGCAGACATATTTGGGAGAGATGCTTGAAAGTCAAATTTAGCATGGCGAAGCTGAAATTGATCATGGCCAAAGTTCATGCTTACAAAATAAAAAATCATGGAAACCCCAAAAGCTCCTGGTCAGGAAGAATGATCCAGGGGTTAGACCATTAGCTTGGGAGACACTGGACCAATGTGCTGCTTTACCAAGGCCTTTGGACAAGTCTTTCTGTGCCTTAGTTTCTCCTCTTTGAAATGGTACTCTGGTAAAATGGGATCCATATGGCATAGATGTACTGAGCTTTCCTCACCAATCCTTTTGGCCAGTGCAACAGATCTCATCCATGTTCACATGCAAACAGAAAGAAGCCTCTGTATCTACAATTCTGCATCACTAGACAACAGAACGGTCAAGTTAATCGGAGCAGAACAGCAACCCCGGAGTCCTAATGACTTGATATGTGAGGGCTAGAATAGGAATGAGTTTCTAATGTGATTCCCAGCTGATAAAGGGCTAGAAGTCCACTGAGAGGACGATGGCTCGGAACCACATGAGGAAACGTTTTCATGGAGTCCGAGGCCAGAGGGAAGTGATGTGATCATCTAGTCCCGAGTTTTTCAAACTTGGGTTGCGGTGCCTCCAGGGTAAGCCACTGGCTTGTCCACGCTGCTTTGTTTACTTAATGTGTCCGTCACCAGGATGCCTTGCAGCTCCCATTGGTGGCGCTTTGCCGTTTCCAGTCAAGGGGAGCCGCTCTGTGGCTTCGGACTAGTTAAATAAATAAAATGGCCTGGCCCTGCCGTTGGCTTATCCTGGTGGCCCCATGACCCAAGTTTGAAAAATACTGATCTAGTCTGATCTGCAGTACAACACAGTTCCAGAGAGTTTCCTCAGAGTAACTTCTAAAGGTGATCACTCAGGAAAAACACCTAATTTAAAAATGGTCAATGAGGAGACTCCACCTACTACGACCCTTCGTAAATTGTGAATTACTCTCACCACTACTGAAGTGCTCTGCTCTCAGAACAGGGCTGGAGCAATAGTTCTTACCAAGTTTTGTGGGTGATGGTTAGATGGTCCACAGCCTCGCTGGGCACAGTCGGATTGATAAACAACAAGGTGGTAACTATAACTCAACCCTTTCCATGAAGCTCCTAGCAACAGCTGACTGCACTTTGTAGTCTGGTCTAGTGTCTTCAAACCAATGGATCATTCTCAGGTAATAGAAGCTGCTGTTGGTCGACACTGAAACTTCTGGAACTTTCCTTCCAGACCTCTGTGAGGTCACCAACTCCCTGCCAAACGTCTCTTATTCAGACAGCATGGCACAAAAATGGATCCTGACCTGAGGGAGGGGCCTAACCACATGAAATGGGGGTGGTGGTGGTCCGATGGGCCGGGCATGTGTGTGCATGCAAGTGTAAGTGTGTGTGCAGGTGTGTGAGAGTGGGAGAAAGAAAGCTGAGGGTTCTTAAACACAAAGGGTGCGGCTAGACTACACCTCTCTGTCAACAGAGAGATGTAGATCAGGCACGTCAATATTGCTAACGAAGCAGGGATTTAAATATCCCGCACCTCATTAGCATGAACATGACCTCCAGTATGTAACACAGCAACAAACAGGCTGTTCATACTTATCCTCACTTTTTTTTTTTTTTTTTAAAGGCAGTCTAGATGCGGATCTGTCGAAAATAAACCCTTTTTCGACAGATCCCGTATTCCTCAAAAAATGAGGTTTACGAGGATCTGTCGAAAAAGGGTTTATTTTTGATAGATCTGCATCTAGACTGCCATTTTTTTCCTCGAAAAAGCTCAGTTTTGAAAAAATCGGCAGCCATGTGTATGCTAATGAAGCATGGGATATTTAAATCCCTGCTTCATTAGCAATTTTGATGTGCCTAATCTACATCTCTCTGTCGACAGAGAGGTGTAGTCTAGAAGTAGCCAACGGGAGTTGCTGGTAACTCAATGAATCACCCCAGTAGTAAGCAGGATCCCTACTTCAAAGATGATTTATTGTGAATTGACACGGTACGGTTGGGATGGCGAGTCTGTGCAAACCCAGAGGACAAAGTGTTCCCTTCCCTAAGAATCTGAACACCTACATCAAACAGATAACACAGGACACATCAGACAGGCAGCCACATTTCCAACGATGCAGATATTTGTACAGCTCCAGTGTAACAATTCCATGAGCACCAAAAACACTTGTTCTGCTCCACACCAAGGCTACGCAGAACTTTTCAGCATCTGTGCGACTGTTGACAGCATATCCGTCTTCCTGGAATTAAAAGCTCAGGCCTTTGCCAGCAGCTGCCTAGGTGAATCTCTGCAATCTGTGAGCAGCGTTGTGCCTATGACAAACAGCTGCACAAGTCTGGTCCTATCCAACAGTGCACACACCCAGGCATGCATGCACCCGCCTGTTCATAACAACCTAATCGGTGCTTGTTGAGTTATCATGGAACGACCTGAGCAGAGAAGGTAAAAGCAGAGATTGACCCAAATCATAACATTTAGATCTGGATTCTGCCCTAGCACTGGGGATTGCGTTCAGCGATTTTAGGCCCATAGCTAGTTTTGAAGAGACTTTTAGGGCATTTAGCTCACAAAGAATGGCAGTTCCAAGAATAAAGGGGGGCATGGATGGATTAAAATGGATAATAGACACTCAGGAAGTACGGATTGCACCTTTAGAAACTGGGACTCTCTGGTCTGGCCAGAGAGTCCCAGCGCACTGCAGGGGTTGGGGGCAAGAGCTGGGAGCCCAGTGCTATGTAAGGGAGAAGGAGGGTGCCAGGAGCTCAGCTCATTGTGGGGGGAAAAGGCAGGAGCCTGGCACTTAGATCAGCTGGGCTGGGGGGGAGGGGAGCAGAGAAGGTCGGAACATGGCCCAGATGGACTGCAGAGGTGGGGTGGGAAGCCAGGCATGCACAATTCAGCTGGGCCGCTGGGGGAGCCAATAAGCCCGGTGGGATGGCAGGGGGTGGGGCCAGCTGCAGGGGGTCAGAAATGACCTCCCCTGGTCCACCAAAATTCCTCATCTGGGACCAGTCAGGTCCCGAGGGCGCTGGACCACGGAGGTCCAGCCTGTAGCTATTCAAGTTTGCCTGATGCCTGACAGAGACAGTACAAGAAACCTGATGTTCTCTTGCCCCAAGAAGAAAGCTCTGAACAAGTGCAGCACCATGGGTATGAGCTCACTAGGGAGAATTAGACAATAAATAACACAAATGAACATGGCAACCCGGTGAACTGCTGTGCCCTTATATCACAAGGCTACTTCCATATACTGAGAATGAAGATTTACCTGAGATCTGGGAGACAGCCCGTAATCGGCAATATCCCAAACCCGGATGAATCCACATGTGTCTCCAGACACAAGCACACTGTTGGTTAGATTGGTTGACAGTCCAGTCACAGAGGCATCCTCTTTAGCTGGGGCATAATAAAAGCCTGAAACAACACAAGAGGCAGAAGGGTAACATTTCCCCAAGTGCTTAAGTGAGTTAGGAGCCTAGGTCCCATTTTTTTAAAAGAGGCAGAGGCACATAGGGATGTAAACACCGTTGATTTCGAGGAGACTCAGACATCTCCTGAGATTGGGAACCCCCTGGGGCGGGCACCATCTTTTTGTTCTGTGTTTCCATAGCACCACGCACAGTGGGACCCTGGGCATGACTAGGGCTCCTGGGCTCTGAGGTAATACAAATAAATTATAAGTGCCTAAGGCCCATATGCTCAAAGGTATTTAGGCACCTAACTCCCATTTATTTCCTAAGTCTCCCACAGGGCCGCCAATGGGAGAGGGAGGGGCAAAGGGGACAGTTACCCTGGGGCTTGGGACTCCAGGTTGATACCATGGCAACAGCAGTGGCCAAAGCCCCAGCCATATTAAAACATCACTGGAGCCATGGATGCTACTGAGGGCTGGCTGGGGGCAGCTAGCCCTAGCTCCACCCCTTCTGATATAGGCCCCTCCCCTTGTGGCGGGGGCTAGAGCTGCATTTCCCTCCTCCCCCGCCCCACATTGTCCAGGGCCCACTGAAATGAACAAATATGAAAAGGACAAATCACATTGCAGAACAGAAGGGGGATGCGGGGGGGTGGGAAGGGGGAGGAAGGAAGGTAAGTGTCTGTGAATTGCTGATATTAAAGGTAGGGAGAGTGGGATGTTTGTGAGTTAATGGTATTACAGGTGATAATTGGGGAAACTGTCTTGGTAATGGGTGAGAAAGTTCAAAGACTTGTTAAGTCCTTGTTGGTAAGTGTCGAATTTTAACATGAATGACAGTTCAGAGGATTCCCTTTCAAGTGCAGATGTAAAAGGTCTTTGTAGCAGAATGCAGGTGGCTAAGTCATTTAGAGAGTGTCCTTTCTGGTTAAAGTGGCAAGAAACTGTTTTCTCTTTGTGATCTTGTCTGATATCTGTTTTGTGGGCATTAATCCTTTGGCGAAGTGTCTGAGATGTTTGTCCAATGTACATAGCAGACGGACACTTTCGGCACATGATAGCGTAGATTATATTTCTGGATGCGCAGGAATATGTGTTCTTGATCTTATAACTCACTTGGTTAGGTCCAATAATGGTATCAGCAGAATGAATATGTGGACAAAGCTGGCAACGGGGTTTGTTGCAAGGGAAGGTACCAGGGTTGGTATTAGTGTGGTATGTCCTGTGGTGGTTGGTAAGAATCATCTTGAGGTTAGGTGGTTGTCTATAGGAGACTATGGGTCTGTCTCCCAGAGCCTCTTTGAGTATGGTATCCTGTTCCAATATAGGCTGTAGTTTATTGATAATGTGTTGGACAGGTTTAAGTTGGGGGTTGTAGGTGATGACAAGTGGTGTTCTATTGTTGGTTTTCTTGGGTCTGTCTTGAAGTAGATGGTTTCTAGGTATTCGTCTGGCTCTTTCAATTTGCTTTTTTGTTTCTCTGGGTGGGTAGTTGAGATTTATAAATGCTTGGTAGAGATCCTGAAGCTTCTGGTCTCTGTCAGTGGGGTTAGAGCAGATGCGGTTGTATCGAAGGGCTTGGCTATAGACGATGGATCGTGTGGTGTGTTCTGGATGGGAGCTGGATGCATGTAGGTAACTGTATGAGTCAGTGGGTTTTCTGTAGAGAGTGGTGTCTAATTTTCCATTGTTGATTTGTACGGTGGTGTCCAGGAAGTGGATCTCTCGTGTAGAATGGTCCAGGCTGAGGTTGATGGTGGGGTGTAGGTTGTTGAAATCTCTGTGGAATATCTCCAGTGTTTCTTGGCCATGTGTCCAGATCATAAAGATGTCATCGATGTACCGTAGGTAGAGGAGGGGTGAAAGGGGACGGGAGTTGAGGAAACGTTGTTCTAGGTCAGCCATAAAGATGTTAGCATACTGTGGGGCCATGCGTGTACCCATGGCTGTGCCGCTGATCTGGAGGTATAAGTTGTTCTCAAACCGGAAATAATTGTGGGTGAGAACAAAGTTACATAGGTCTGCTATCAGGTTGGCAGTAGTGTCCTCTGGGATAGTGTTTCTAATTGCTTGTAATCCGTCTTCATGTGGGATGTTGGTATATAGAGCTTCTACATCCATGGTGGCAAGGATGGTATTATTGGGGAGGTTATCGATGTTTTGTAGTTTCCTTAGGAAGTCAGTGGTGTCTCGGAGATAGCTGGGGGTATTGGTTACGAAGGGTTTGAGAAGAGTGTCTACATAGCTGGATAGACCAGTAGTGAGCGTGCCAATACCAGAGATGATGGGACGTCCGGGGTGCCCAGGTTTATGGATCTTGGGAAGTAGATAGAACAATCCTGGTCGGGGGTCAGAAGGTGATTCTGTGAGGATTTGTTCCCGAGTAGCTGTGGGGAGGCTGTGTGAAGTCTGTTGCCAGCCCTAATCCTCTGTAACTCATTTAAATGGGACTTAGTCATTTTTGAAAATCGTATCCTAACTCTTCTAGGAAGTCAGTCCGGTTCAAAGAACATGTACTATTGCTTTTTAAAAATTCCTCATCTGTGATATTAGGATCATTTAGAATATTTAACACAGCAAGAGATATTGAAATCTGCTTCCACGAGCACCAGTAATGCTGTTTTTTAATTTCTGAGCTCCTTTCAGCATGAACAATGAAACGGGCCAGTCAGTTTCACCTCCCTTGCTGGTTGCTGTTGTTAGCTTCACTTTTTTGATGCCCGTGCACAGGTAAAATGTGACAATGCTTGGGTTGCAATTTAAGACAGCAGGAGAACATGATATAGCGCGCCCCAAAACCAGCCTCCATTCAACGTCCCAAAATTAATTACAAATGTATGGATCTTAATTTTTTTAGTGGAAAAAAAAAATCTAAATTTGGAGCCTAACGGGCCTTGAAGAAACAAAGAAATAACATGGCCCTGCCATAGACTATCCTATTACAAGGACAGCTGCCTACTTTTTTGAAAGTGGCTTTGTTAGGTAGATCTTCAGCAATAGTTTGTTATAAAGAGGATTCCTATGTGCTTGTACAGACAGAAATTTGTCACCCTCTATTCAAGACAGTCACCTCTGGGTTGGAATCTGTCAGCCATTCTGTGCCAAAAACACTGGGTAATAGTTCTTGTTGTTGAATATTTCCTTCGGTTGAAATGTTAGAATTTTTTGGGAAGCAGTTATTCATGTTGGAATTTGGCACTGTGTGTGAGACCCTCTCCAAAGTGGCCAAGATACCCCGGGGCAGGACGCTCACCTGAGATGTGAGAGACATGGATGTGGAGCAGGCACTCAAATCGGGGTCACCAATACACCAAGTGAAGATCCAAATGTTTGGGCTATGGATTCTCTCTCTCTTTTTGTCCCAATGAATATTTAATTACTTATACAAAGTGGAACAGCTCTAGAAGGAATTCTGTTTAGACAGTTGGACTCTCTGGTGTGGTTGGGACACATGGCTAGTTTGTTGGAGATGCAAGTGAATGTCCGAATCACTGAGCTATTGGCTGTTTGGGGGATTTTCTCTCTCTCTCTTTGTGAAACATTTCTAAAGTCCTCACTTTTGTATGGATATGGAATGAAAATAAATTCAGAAACCTCAACATTGTTCATGGAAGGAAGTTCAGGATCTTGTACGGCATCTTATGGAGGTTCCTCAAAATCAGTGCCTACTTTCAAAATATTGGCCTGAGCTTGCATCCTCTTCACAGCTCAGAGGTGCGATTTCCAATGCAGGTGGATATGACCTGCACCAGCTCTGCTTGAGATAGTGCCCAAAAATCACACTTCAGTCGCAGGGAGTTGCCCAAGGAAGTACCCAGTGGATTGGGTGGGACTGTATGGGTATGTCTACACTTGTATCCTCTTTCAAGACAGGGATGCAAATGAAGACATTCAAAATTGCAAATGAAGCTGGGATTTAAATATCCCACGGTTCATTTGCATATTCGTGTTATGGCGCTATTTCGAAATAGCGCTATTTTGAAACAACAGATGCTGTTAAGACGCGGTTATTTCAACAGAAAACCCTTCTCTCGAAATAACTGGTAAACATCATTGTATGAGGAATAAGGGTTATTTTGAGAGAAGGGTTTTCTCTCGAAATAACCGCGTCTTAACAGCGTCTGTTATTTCGAAATAGCGCCATAACGCAAATATGCAAATGAAGCGAGGGCTATTTAAATCCCGGCTTCATTTGCAATTTCAAATGTCTTCACACTACTGATAGGCTCTATAAATTGAGCAGAGCTGCATGGGTATGTCTATCTATGGCTGTCTGCCTGTGGAATCACACCTCCCAGACACTATGTAGATGTGCCCTTAGTATCTTTGGGCAAAATCCTGATCCTACTGAAGTCAATTGGAGTTTTGCCATTATCTTCAATGGGGCCAGGATTTCGCCCTTTTGCAAGTCCTTTGACTCACTGTTACTGGTTGTTGACACAGATGGAAATTCCTCAGTTGCCATGGGTTTCATTTTCAGGGACAGCTCACCGTGTACAAATGCAGCCCACTTGCACCCCATGAACGCCGCGCTCCCTTTTCTGCTGAGCTAAAACGATCTCTTGTAGTGAGTGTGGCTGGGCACTAAATGATCCTTCTTTGGTTTTTGTGCATGGGAATTTCTTGTACATTTCCTAAGTTTGGCGCAATGCTTGCACTTTGGTTTTCATTTTTGTAGTTTATTCTTTCCTCCGCAGAGATACTGAAGTGAGGCATTGAAAAAAACCAAACTCAGCCCAACCCAGCGTAACCCCTATCATTGTGAAAAACATTTCCCAAGAGAAAGGGTTTAAATATCCCATTTTCAAAGCTGGCCTCATGGAATGTTTGGAAGCTTTTCTATTTAGTTAGCATTTTGGTTTTTGTAAATAACTTAGATACCTTTCCAATTTTGCTTAGTGCCAATTCCAATAACTGTAACATTGTGTTATAGGAAGGAGCGAGAATAAATATGATGCATCAGATAGGTCAGATACATCCCTGTTCTTACATCAGGGAAGAGTTGGCTCTTTGGGCCAAATCCTTGTTCCAATGAGGCTGATGGATGTTGCCAAAGTGAGGAGGAGTCCTGTGGCACCTTATAGACTAAGGCCGTGTCCAGACTCAGGGGTTTTTTCGGGAAAAGTAGCCTTTTCCCGAAAAAATTTCCCCTGCGTCCAGACTCAAGCCGCGTTCTTTCAAAATTATTTCGAAAGAACGCGGCTTTTCTTTCGATGGCGGTAAACCTCATTTCACGAGGAAGAACGCCTTCTTTCGAAAGCTCCTCTTTCGAAAGAAGGCGTTCTTCAATGTAAAGAGGCCGTCTTCGAAAGAGAGCATCCAGACTCGCTGGGTGCTCTCTTTCGAAAAAGTGGATTTCTCTTTCGAAAGATCCGCCTGCAGTCTAGACGCGATCTTTTGAAAGAGGCTCTTTCGAAAGATGCTTTCGAAAGAGCCTCTTTCGAAAGAAGCCTGCAGTCTAGACATAGCCTGAGGGAATGTCTAGACTGCATCCCTCTGTCGGCAGAGGGATGCAGATTAGCCAGGTCGACATTGCAAATGAAGCGGGGATTTAAATATCCTGTGCTTAATTTGCATTAAAAAATGGCCACGGTTTTTGCCGACATCACTTTGTCGGCAAAAAGAGGCAGTCTAGAGGGGGATCTGTTGAGAAAGAAAGCCTTTTTCGACAGATCCTGTAAATCTCCTTGCAGGAGGCATAAGGAATCTGTCAAAAAAGGCTTTCTTTCTCGACAGATCCCCCTCTGACTGCCTCTTTTTGGCCGACAAAGTGCTGAGTCTGCAAAAACTGCAGCCATTTTTTTAAGCAAATTAAGCACAGGATATTTAAATCCCCGCTTCATTTGCAATGTCAATCTGCCTAATCTGCATCCCTCTGCCGACAGAGGGATGCAGTCTAGACACACCCTAACAGATTTATTGGAGCATAAGCTTTCGTGGGCAAAGACCGACTTCGTCAGATGGATGTTGTGCTTTTAATTCCAAAGGGACCAGGATTTGGTTCAATAACCTCATAAGTCTGTCCTTGGAGAGACAATTCTCAGAACAACAGAGCAGTTAAAGATCAGAACACACCGGTGAACACGGATCCGTTTAATTCCAATCCAGTTTTCGCTGTCAGGTGCCAGCAGCAAGCAAGCCCTTTAACAATAAGCTATAGCTACATTAGCACTTTTGTCAATATAACTTGTGTCGCTGACGGGTGTGAAAAAACACCCCCACCGAGTGACAAGTTACACCAACAGACCTGCTGGTATGAACAGCTCTCTCCTGCCGACATAGCCGCTGCCGCTCATTAGGGATGTTTCATTAAGTCAGGGGTGGGCAATAAAAAAAGGGCAGCCCTCCAGGATTAATCCATGGCAGGCCGCTGCCACTATATTTACCTGCACGTCTGTGCTGGTACTGGGCAATCACAGTTCTCATTGGCCACAGATTGCTGTTCCTGGCCAATGGGAGTGGCAGGAAGCAGCTTGGACCAGGACGCCCCTTCCTGCCACTTCAATTAGCTGCAAATGGCAATCTGTGGCCAATGAGAGCTGTGATCGCCCAATACCTGGAGAGGTGCAGGTACATTCAGTGAGGGCCTGCCAGGGGCTAACCCTGTGTATTCTACGTAGCTGGAGTTGCGTACTTTAAGCCAAGCTTCCAGGTCTAGTGTAGACCTGGCTTGAGTGCTACAGTAGTACAGCTTCACTGGCGTCATTGTGCTGCTATGGCACTGTGGCTACATCTACATTGCACTTTCTTGCGCAAGAACATATGCAAATGAGGCACGGCAATGAATATTTGCATACTTCATGAGCCGCCACTTTTGCGCAAGAGCCATTCCGCCGCTTATTTTGAGGCAGAACAGCTCTTGTGCAAGAGGGGGCTTTTGCACAAGAAGGAGCAGTATAGACTGCTTCTTCTTGTGCCAAAGCCCCTTGAACAAAAATGACAGCTCATTCAGTATGCAAATGCGGCACGACAATATTCATCACCGCCCCTCATTTGCCTATGTTCTTGCACAAGAAAGTGCAATGTAGACGTAGCCTGTAAGTGTAGACAAGCCCTCAGTTACGATTAGCTTAGGCAAAGGCTGAATAGGTGACTAACCAAAGCAACACATTGCAGGGCAACACCAAGACCCCAGACACCTGGAAACTAATTTTCCAGCAGGGAGAGACCACCAGGTGCATACATTCCCAAAATCCATTTACAGAGAACAGGCTGCAGAAGCAGCCAGATAGCTGGAAGACTCTGTCCTCCTGGACTCCTGACTGTGGGGTGCAGGAGAAGAACAGTGACCTCCCTTTTCTAACCTAGGTTGGGCATAAGATGGGGATGGAAGAGGTATAGTGTGAGAGCCAGGATGAATTACTTCAGGTTAGATGGAGGTTTCTCCCTTGTTTCGCTAGCACCAAAGCAAGCGTTTTTCTGCAACAGTCTCATGGGCTGTTGGCCATGAACCACGAGGCCTGAAGGAGACATACACCTCCTCATCTCTAGCGAGGCAGCAATGAGCCCTCAACAACGGTTCCCCACTGATGTTAACTCCCACTGACTTTGGTGAGCCAGGAGTTCTCCAGAGGCCTCCAAGATCTAAACATCTCGCGGAAGTTACGATGACTTTCACGGGTACGTCTTACCAAATTCCCGTTCTTCTGCAAGGATACTCCACCAACGCAGGTTCCCGGCATCAGAGCTCACAAGGATTCCGCTCGCTTTTGAAACGCTGTCCATGGATCGATGCTGGAGAAACAGCAGTTTTTCCACCGGAGGATGTGGCCTAAAATTCAATGCAGATGATTAGACCATCCCCACCTCTTTATTTTCTTGAAAGTCCACCTAGCACATCAAAACGCCCAGCAATTTTTTATAAAGGGCTAGTTATTTCTATTGGAAAGGAGGAAGGCCTACAACTATCAATTAGATTGCACTGGAAATACTAAGCTTTTCCTGTTGTTGCTTCCTTCACACAGACATAATTTTAAAAAAATCCCACACATTTATTTTTTATTTAACTCATGCCAATTTCTATAGGAGAACCCCCATATAAATAACTGCACTCATTTGCCATTAAACACCCAACAAAGCTTGAGCTATGGGCATCAGAGTGCTGGAAGCAAGAAGTCAAAAGTAGATCTGACCTAAGGCCCCGAGCCTGCACTGGGTAGCATGTGGGTGAACGGCTGTTCCCACAAAGAGCCTGACAGAAGTGAGTGAGACTCTGTAATATCTCAAGGGGCCCTGCCCATGTGGAGCTCATGGCAGGGATGAGGTCTAGTTGGGACAAATATCAAAGTAGTTTTGCGGTGGCTCATGGTGAGGCGTTTCATATCATGTGGTGGATACGTTGCGTTTGGCTCCTTTTCAAAACCTTTGCAAAGGGTGTAATGCTTCTCGATGTCCCTTATCAGCCCAGTCGTATTTCATTATTGCACACACCGCTGGAAACACCAGCCCTGATCCAAAGTCCATTGAAGCAGATACATGTTTTCCCATTGACACCAGGGAACTCTGGACCAGGCCCGCAGCTAGATTCTTACAGCGAACCAGGGCAAGAATGGAAAATGGTGTCACGCCGCTGTAACCATGTGGGGAGACCGGCCCAGTATGTTTATGGCGGGTCAGATTCTGCCTGCCTTGTTGGAGTTGGGTCCTGCTCTTCTCAGCAGTGTGTCAGTCTCTATCTGCAGCAAATTGCAACACCTCTGCCCCGCCCCTCTGGCTCAGCTGGTCCTCTAGGGTGGAGCTCAGGCTTTGGCCATTCTTTATCCCTGGCTCAGGGGGCAGTAAGTGGTAAGGGGTACAAGGGAGGTTTTTACTCCTCCTTTCTTCCATGTATGTAGGGGCAGATGACCATTTTGCAGGGCCCAGGGCAGCAGAATTTCGCGGGGCCTCCCTTTGCCATGGTGCATGCGCGGGGTTTTTTGAAGCGCGGGGCCCGGGGCGGCCGCCCCGCTCGCCCTGCCCTATATCCGCCCTTGCATGTATGGATGTGCAGTGCAAGTCGCACTCTAGCCAGTTAGCCCTAGATAGTGTACACCAGCATTTCTGAAAGTGCTCTGCGAAACCACTTTGAGAAACACATTAACTGGCCGCTTTGGTTTGTTTATTTACTGGCACTGAGGCCACGGAGCCTCGCAGCTCCCATTGACTCCGTTTCGCTTTTTGCAGCCAAGTGGAGCCGTGGGAAGCGGTGGCCCGGCCCACGCCGCTTCCTGAGGCTCCCATTGGCTGCAAAGGATGAAACGGAGCCAATGGGAGCCACGAGGCCCCATGGCCAAGGTGCCAGTAAATAAACAAACCAAAGCGGCCAGTTAATGTGTTTCTCAAAGTGGTTTCATGGAGCGCTTTCAGAAACGCTGGTGTAGACCAGACCCATAGAGGCTGGCCTACATTGCATGAACCTAATCCTATAAACCAGGGCTGGACATGATGCAGCCCGGGGCCCAGATCCAACATGCTTAACACTTTGATCTGGGCTGGGGTCTACATCTGACCACTTTCTATATACAGGCAGTCCCCGGGTTACGTACAAGATAGGGACTGTAGGTTTGTTCTTAAGTTGAATCTGTATGTAAGTCAGAACGGGCGTCAGCCGCTGCTGAAACTGACCAGCGCTGACTACAGGAAGCCCGAGGCAGAGTTGCTCTGCCCCAGGCTTCCTGGAATCAGCCGCTGATCAGTTTCAGCAGCAGCTGACTTGGGGACGCCTGGGGCAGAGCAACTCTGCCTCGGGCTTCCTGTAGTCAGCGCTGGTCAGTTTCAGCAGTGGCTGAATCAGGACGCCTGGGTTTCTTAAGTTGAATCTGTATGTAAGTCAGAACGGGCGTCAGCCGCTGCTGAAACTGACCAGCGCTGACTACAGGAAGCCCGAGGCAGAGTTGCTCTGCCCCAGGCTTCCTGGAATCAGCCGCTGATCAGTTTCAGCAGCAGCTGACTTGGGGACGCCTGGGGCAGAGCAACTCTGCCTCGGGCTTCCTGTAGTCAGCGCTGGTCAGTTTCAGCAGTGGCTGAATCAGGACGCCTGGGTTTCTTAAGTTGAATCTGTATGTAAGTCAGAACGGGCGTCAGCCGCTGCTGAAACTGACCAGCGCTGACTACAGGAAGCCCGAGGCAGAGTTGCTCTGCCCCAGGCTTCCTGGAATCAGCCGCTGATCAGTTTCAGCAGCAGCTGACTTGGGGACGCCTGGGGCAGAGCAACTCTGCCTCGGGCTTCCTGTAGTCAGCGCTGGTCAGTTTCAGCAGTGGCTGAATCAGGACGCCTGGGTTTCTTAAGTTGAATCTGTATGTAAGTCAGAACGGGCGTCAGCCGCTGCTGAAACTGACCAGCGCTGACTACAGGAAGCCCGAGGCAGAGTTGCTCTGCCCCAGGCTTCCTGGAATCAGCCGCTGATCAGTTTCAGCAGCAGCTGACTTGGGGACGCCTGGGGCAGAGCAACTCTGCCTCGGGCTTCCTGTAGTCAGCGCTGGTCAGTTTCAGCAGTGGCTGAATCAGGACGCCTGGGTTTCTTAAGTTGAATCTGTATGTAAGTCAGAACGGGCGTCAGCCGCTGCTGAAACTGACCAGCGCTGACTACAGGAAGCCCGAGGCAGAGTTGCTCTGCCCCAGGCTTCCTGGAATCAGCCGCTGATCAGTTTCAGCAGCAGCTGACTTGGGGACGCCTGGGGCAGAGCAACTCTGCCTCGGGCTTCCTGTAGTCAGCGCTGGTCAGTTTCAGCAGTGGCTGAATCAGGACGCCTGGGTTTCTTAAGTTGAATCTGTATGTAAGTCAGAATGATCTGTATGATCAGTTTCAGCAGCGGCTGACGCCAGTTCTGACTTACATACAGATTCAACTTAAGAACAAACCTACAGTCCCTATCTTGTACGTAACCCGGGGACTGCCTGTATAACTTGTGTCCTGTGCCACTAAATCTCTAGGCGGTGGCTCAGAAACCAGGATCCCATGTAAATGGCCAAAGCCGCAAGCCCTTTAAATAGTGGTAGCAACCATGGGCGGCTGCCAGGCAACATGGTAGCAGTGGAGCTGGGAGCTGCAAGCCCTTTGCTGTGTTTTTAATTCAAAGCCTCCAGCCTCAGACAACTCTGGAGTGAAGCTAGTCCCCGGCCCCGCCCCTTCCATCCCAGGCCCTGCCCCTTTTGGGGGTCAGAATTACCACGTACCAAAATTTGTGAAGTGGCTCCCCCTGTGAAAATTATTTCCCACCTTTGCTGTAAACCATATACAGTAATTCCTCATTTAACACTATAGATATTCTTCAGAAAATGATCGTGTTAAGTGAAAACGTGTTATGTGGGGTCAATTTTCCCATTGAAAATAATGGAAAAAGTGGGGGTTGCATTTCAAGCGGTGGTGTCTGTTGGGACTGGGACATAAGGTTGGGGGACAAAGGGGCCTGGGTTACAGCAGGGGGGAAGGTGTTTGGCTCTGGGGAAGGGAAGGGGAGGAGAGGGGAGGGGGATTGGGTTGGGAGTATGCCCCTGTGACGAGTCTGCCAGGCCCCGCACTGCGTCCGGCGAGGGTGGGTCGCCGGGGAATGGCGCGGTGAGTGGTGAACCCTCCGCCGCTTTGCAGGGAGGCGGGAGAAGTCCCGCGCAGTCACCGGCAACAGGCTGGCTGGGGAAATTGTGTTATTCTGGGGATGGTCGTGTAATTCAAAAAACGTCCCCTAAAAAGAAAATCGTGCTATCGCAAAAACGTGTTAAGCAGGCACGTGTTCAATGAGGAATTACTCTACTCTTAAAATTCTTGTTAGCGTCCATGTCTTGTAGGATTGGGCCCAATTTTCCCTCCATGGAGGGAGCTCCTTCAGTGGCGTGAATGGTCCTAGCTCCATTGAAATCAGCAATGCTATGACACTTCTACACCTGATGAGCAGCTGTGGATTTAAACATGCGGGCTGTCCGGGTGCTTACCCCGCTTTCACTATTCACATCTGCAGGCTCATGAGAAAGCTCTGCACAGAGATGGCCACTTTTCATCCTCCAAGCCCTTTGCAAACTTTCACAGTGCATAGGGTGGTGCTTACTTTTTGCAGGACGGTCACAGACAGGGAGAGCACTGAAGGTTCTTTAGTGTAAAGCAGATGGTCCATAAATGTGTTTTTAATAAATAAAAATCAATGCCACTGCCACAGCACAGACCTAGCAGGTTAATCACGCTAAGGAAGATACCCAAGGAGGATGGTCGAGGGAAATGAGACCTCAACATTGTAAGCAGCAAGATCTCTTCTTTGCATCCTTTTTGTTAGGAAAAAAAAAAGTAATGTGGGGAAATGACTCTGTAACCCCCCCCAAAAGCATATTACTTCACCCGGTGCAGAGTATAATGAATAACTCATGGCACATCATTCCAAAAGAAAACGATACCTTTCGGGCTGAGCCTGCCGGAGGTAGAGACACACACTCTGCGATTCCACATCCCACACGAGAATTTCGCCATCGAAGCTGGCGGAAGCGAGGAGCCCAAGAGAAGGACAATAGTCCACTGTCAGGATGTCGTCTTTGTGCGGCTGCCCGCCTTTCCAAGAAGGATGCGCAGCAACGTAAAGGGCCTGCAAACAGGAAGAGGACTGAATAAAGCTCAGGTTTTACTCACTTGATTCATAAGATATATGGGGGCAAGTTCAGTGCTGATACAAGCAGGTGCAGTTTCTACTGACTTCATTGGGGTTTTTACTCACTCACTCCCGCATCACTTTCACGAGTGTGACAGAAGGAGGGGTCTTGTTAGTTTAAATGCAATCAACAACCGGCACCCTGCTATTCCCATTCCATTCCTTCTCCTTTACGCACCCCAGGCTCACAGAAATCATAAAGGACGATTTTCTGATTCCATCCCACTGCGAGCAATGTTTGATCCTGCAAAGCTACAAGTCCCGTGACTTCAGTTTCTTCCACTATCTCCAGCTGGTGCAAATTATGGCCAGTCTGAATATTCCAGACCTGCTCAAAAGAAAAGGGATTTAGTTCTATCCACCCACAATAAAATCCACCCACGATAGCCTTATCTTTTCCAGCCCCTCACTAATGGGGCCTATTGTCAGAAGGAAAAGGAAAGGTTCAAAAGATGATCAATGAAACCCAAAACTAGGTTCCAGTCACAACTGAAAACTTCAGTAAAAGCTTATATATGATCCGAGATCAGAATACTGCAGCTGGGTCAATGTGATAATTGTCACACCATGTAGCGTCATCGGAGCTTTGCAATGGTTGTAATATATGCAGTACAAGGAACACAAGACTTGCTGTTTGTCCATATTTAAGGCCATTGTAGGGAACCGACAGCTTTTGACAATCTGACCCTGTGAGCATACGGTGGGCCTGCTGGAAAATGCGAAGGCTACGTCTACACTGCTCTCTCTTATGCAACAAAATATGCAAATGAGGCAAAGCAGTGAATATTGCTGTGCCTCATTTGCATACTTAATGAACCGCCATTTTGCGCATGGGGCTTTTGCGCAAAAAGGAGCTGTCTACATGGCTCCTTTTTATGCAAAACCCCCCTCTTGCGCAAGAGTTGTTCTGCTGCTTTTTTTTTGCACCAGAAGGGGTTTTTGCGCAAAAAGGAATTGTCTACACGCAAAAGCCCCTTGCGCAAAATGGCGGCTTATTAAGTATGCAAATGAGGCACAGCGATATTCACCGCTTTGCCTCATTTGCATTTTTTTTTGCGTGAGAGAGGGCAGTGTAGACGTAGGAGGTCTTTTGCTGACTCGGTGGGTCAGCTGGCTGATTAGCCCCATACAGAGGTAAGGGAGGTGAGGACATCAGGCTAGACTAGAGAGAGGACCTCAGGTGTGAGATGATCAGACCTTGGGGAGGAATCCTGGCAAGAGCCACACTCCTGAGATTTTGTGCTGAGTAGTTTTTGTGAATGCAGCAGTGGGACCCCAGAAAAGGGGCGACCTTTTGATCTGCTACAGCTTGAGTAGGCTGGGCTTCTGGCAAGGTGAAGGAATTATTCACTCCCAGCTCTGTAGTCTGGAAATGAAGAAAGGGGCAAAGGAATTTTTTTGCAAGAGCGGCTGTATTTTGTTTCACTGAACAAACCTTTATGGTCCCGTTCCTTGCTGCCGTGATGAGGCTGTGCTGGGAGCTGTCCAGGGCCATGCAGGTAATCTCTTCCTTCCCATGGGCATTGTTTATGAGGAGGTGCTTGGCTCCCGTCTCCGCATCCCACACAGCGACAGTGGAGTCGTCACATCCTGTCACCACCTGCCAGTAGAGAGAACATGGTTTGAAATGTTCCGGCTTTGTGTTGCGTTACATTTTGCTTAGAAGGAAAGCCTCAAGGAAAGGTGGGGAACAGCATCTCCATTTGGAACAGGGCTTCCTCTTCCTTGGATGGCACATCAGCCCACCAGATGATGCAGAAAAGCCAAATTGCCCACTTCAGGTCCCTCTCTAACCTAGACAGTGACTGGTTCTAGGCAGTTCTAGACTGTTCCATGTATATCCATTGAACTGAATCACTGAAATCACTCCCAATAAACACTTGAGTCAATTGGGGCCAGTGGAGGATTGTTCTCTACAATCTTCTCTCTCCAGTGCAGTGTCCAACTAATTATTCAATACCTGGGAGGGCTGACAGAATTGCCAGACGGGAGAGAGGGCACCTCCGTGCTCCCAAAAGGGGAGGAGTCTCAGGTAGGGTTGTCAGATAGTTTAACAAAAAATACCAAACATGGCAGGGAAAAAATTGGTAGAGAAAAAAAAACAACCCAACCACAGGGACCAAAGTTGTTGAGCAAAGTCATGGTGCCTTTAAATCCCCACATTCTCCCTGCCCCCACTAGACGCGGCAGGGGAAGAATGTCCCAAGCGGCCTTCCATCCGAGAAACACAGAAAATACCCGACATTTTACATGGTTTTTTTACCGGACAGAAGCCGCAAATCCTAGACTGTCTGGGCCAAATACCAGACACCTGGCAACCCTAGTCTCAGGCAGAAGTGGTAGGGCCGGGGTTAGAAGGATGGGGCTGTAGCTAGCCTCCCCGCCCCCACCTGCACTTCAGCATGGCTCAGAGTGTGCTGCACAGGGCTCTGGTGGCATTTTAAAGGGCCTTCACCATTGTGATAGCAGCAGCCAGGAGTCCTGGGGCCTTCTGAATCGCCAGGCCCTAGGGCAGTTGCCTCTTTTGCCCCTGCTCCATGGGCCGGCATATTTAATGCTGCAGGATGCTGATAAATGTGAAGAGGGTTCAGAAACAAGCCATAAGAGTGACTGGAAAACATGCCTTAGTGAAAGACTTAAGCAGCTTAGTCAGTTTAGCTTACCACTCGATTTTTCTTGTTAAACTGCCATGGAACACCCAAAATAATTTTCCGTGCCTGGCGTTTTGGTCATAAGCACTCCGTAGGACATATATTATCTATTACAGGTTGAACCTCCCTAATCTGGCAACATCCATGGTCCAACATGATGTTAGTTAGCCAGATGTCCACTTATCATAGAATACTAGGACTGGAAGGGACCTTGAGAGGTCATCAAGTCCAGTCCTCTGCCCTCATGGCAGGACCCAGTACTGTCTAGACCATCCCTGATAGACATTTATCCAACCTACTCTTAAATATCTCCAGAGATGGCGATTCCACAACCTCCCTGGGCAATTTATTCCAGTGTTTAACCACCCTGACAGTTAGGAACTTTTTCCTAATGTCCAACCTAAACCTCCATGCTGCAGTGTAAGCCCGTTGCTTCTTGTTCTATCCTCAGAGGCCAGGAAGAACAAGTTTTCTCCTCCTCTTTGTGACTCCCTTTTAGATACCTGAAAACTGCTATCATGGGCACATGATCTCAATCTTCTCTTTTCCAAACTAAACAAGCCTAATTCTTTCAGTCTTTTTTCTTAGGTCATGTTCTCTAGACCTTTCATCATTCTTGTTGTTCTTCTCTGGACCTTCTCCAATTTCTCCACATCTTTCATGAAATGTCACATCATGGATGTGGACAAGTTTCCTGTGGTCTCATAAAGTTTGTTTACATCCACCAGTCCTGGCTCTCAGTGTTCTGAGCTGTTATTTAGGTCCAATTTGCCCCTAAACATATTCTAAAAGCCCAGTAAGCAGTGGAAGCGTTGGTCATTCTGCTAGACAATATTGATCTCCTGTAGTCCAGGAAATCCTCCCATGAGCCCGCAAATTCTTTGGTTTAACACCCAGTTAGGTCATGAAGATGCCGGATTAGAGAGGTTCAACTTGTACTGAAGAACAAAAATCAGTAATAAGCAAGTCACATGTGGGACAATGCTGAGTGTGAAAGTGATGAGCATCCCAAAACCACTCAGAAAAGACTGGAGTCAGCCCATTCAAAATGCATGTAATTTATAAAGATCTCTGAAAGCAGACGTGTCAGGCTGGAAATGCGCTCTCTTTTGGCACTAGCACTGTTTGGAATTGTTGACTGATCTAAGATTATTTACGAATTTCTAGTTACCAACTTTAGGGTTGACAGATCCTGTGTCCCAGGATCAGGTCCGATAGTTAATTATTCTGTTCTATCACATTTGTTATTTCTATCCTACCCAGTTATTTGGTCTGGTCTCAACCAGTTATTTCGGGGTTTTCTAAGTGATGATGTACCTGCTCAGTTTGAGGGTTTTCCCGGAAGTCCCTAATCCATAGAAAGTCATTCTTATCACCTATCTAGATGAAAGATCCTGAACCTAGAAAGTTGTCCTTTGCTGTCTGGGTGAAAGTTCTCAAACAGATGCATGCTAGCTTTGCCTTAGTGCGACATACATGATATGGCCTGTAAGTCCCTTGTGATACAACCAAACTGACAATATAAACCTACTGAAACTTATGTGCCCACAAAAGCTCATGATACCATCTACATGTTTTGTTAGTCTATAAAGTGCTACCAGACAATTTGTTTGCTGTTTTTTTATTATAATAAACATATAATCAAAACCATAAGGAAATAATAAATTTATATATTCATGGGTAAGCCAGCACATTAGCTATATAGGCTACAGAATGGGTTGAAATTTGGAGATCAAAGGGAGAGGAGGGCAGAGCTAAAGAGGGGCTTATTTGTGGCTGGGGAATATTAAAAAGCGAATGTGTTGCAGACAAATGGAAAGAAGTGAGGCTGACTGGCAAAATAAGAGGAAGATACATGGGATTGTGGCAGAGGATGGACATGGAATTTATTGAACAAGGCAGCTGGGCACCACACAACTAGCTGTGTGGTACGATGGTAAGGCAAGGAGTTTCTAACCTCACAGACGGGCTGTAGCCAGACAGGAACCCCCCCTTGTAACATCCATTTTTGCTTGCCTGGAGCATACAGGGCACACAGAGCAGAAGGCCCAGGCTGTGTGACCGTGACCAATTGTAAGCAGAGATAGGAGGGTGGTCAAACTAATTGTTGACCAAGAGGCTGTACATCATGTCCTTGACTTAACCCATATTGATACGAACACACAACCGTCCGCGGGGGGAGGAATCTCCCGCCCAACAAGAAAATCCGGCACTCCTAATTTAGCTATCTTCCTCTCTTACAAGTGTAAATTAACTTGAAACTTGCTTGTAAGAACTGGCGCCACAAAACGGACCAGTAGAATTTGGCCTCTTAGATAAGAAAGAGGATACGGGCCCTCAGGGGTATAAAGATGGGTCCAGCAGCATATTTTCTCTGAGTGTCAATCTACCATCTATCTGCTGGTCGGGTTAGGTGTTTGATCTCCCGAGGTTTCAGAGGGGACCTCGTATTCGTCTTTCCTAGGAATTGAGAGACCGGCCCTGGCCTGACACGCTGGAGTCGAGAGGCACAGAAAGCGGTAAAAATTGTACCTGGATGTGGTCCTTTGTTTAAGTATATATATACATAGTGTTAGAGCTCTTTAAAGATTAAGCTGTCACTTGGTACCATTATTTCTATTTTCTATCTTTACCTTTTTCCTGTAACGTATTCGTCTTTCCTAGGAATTGAGAGACCGGCCCTGGCCTGACACGCTGGAGTCGAGAGGCACAGAAAGCGGTAAAAATTGTACCTGGATGTGGTCCTTTGTTTAAGTATATATATACATAGTGTTAGAGCTCTTTAAAGATTAAGCTGTCACTTGGTACCATTATTTCTATTTTCTATCTTTACCTTTTTCCTGTAATCATTTTTAAGACCTATATATATATATATTTGCTAGCATTTAAGAAATAGAGCAGTGTCCTTGACTTAACCCATATTGATACGAACACACATCCATCCGCGGGGGGAGGAATCTCTCGCCCAGTAAAAAAATGTCTAGTATTCACAATTTAGTTATCTCTCTTGCAAGTGTAAATTAACTTGAAACTTGCTTGTAAGAACTGGCGCCACAAAACGGACCAGTAGAATTCGGCATCTTAGATAAGAAAGAGAATACGGGCCCCCAGGGGTATAAAGATGAGTCCAGCAGCACACTTGCTTTGAGTGTCAATCTACCATCTATCTGCTGGTCGGGTTAGGTGTTTGATCTCCCGAGGTTCCAAGGGGACGCCCACCTCGTATTCGTCTTTCCTAGGAATTGAGGGACCGGCCCTGGCCTGACACGCTGGAGTCGAGAGGCACAGAAAGGGGTAAAAATTGTACCTGGATGTGGTCCTTTGTTTAAGTATATATATACATAGACTTAGAGCTCTTTAAAGATTAAGCTGTCACTTGGTACCATTATTTCTATTTTCTATCTTTATTTTCTTTGTAACCATTTTTAAAATCTGTATTTGTTAGCATTTAAGAAATAGAGCAATAGCCATTGTAACCATATGCTTTTATAAGTCTTTTAATAAACCTGTAACTGTTTAAGCTTTAACCTGACTCCTTCAGTTGCTGTAATAGAACCAAGCACAATTTAAAAGAACTTCAGCCGGTCATAAAGGGACAGACATAGGGAGAGCTTGGGCGTTTGGATCTGTGTCACTCCCAGGTGACAAGATCCGTTGGGGCACCTTTTCAGCCTTTCCTAGGCTGCCCTCTGTGAAGGAACCCCTGTGTTCTAGCAGCTAAAATCTAAGGTGTAATAAGCTCTTCCTATATAACGGGGCATCTGTTGGCCTGCTGGCCACCCTCTGCGACGGGACCCCGGTCCTAGCAGTAAAGACACAGATGTTAAACCTTTTCTCGGAAACATAAACACACACACTGCCCTGACCGTCGGCTGACACGGGTGTAACGATGTCAAAGCTACTTAGTTACCCAAGTGCTTCACAGCCCAGCTTGGGAGGTGTTGGAGATTTCACCAAAGTCATGTTTCCTGAGCCAATGGGATTTTTTCAAACCTCGCAGCAAAGGCAAAGTGACAACAAATCGTTACTGGCTGACACTGGACATTAATACTTAGTCAGGGTTGGTTGAATATTCAAAGACACTGACTAAAAAGGGTTAATGTATTTGGCTTCCCAGCTCTTTCCTGCATTTCCTGGCAAGTGCTCTCCTTTGACATGGAAACAGATAGTGGAGCCAAACAGGGCGCAGGCCAAGCCAAACCACAACATGAACTCAGGCTTCCACGAAGGTGGAGGAGATTTAAAAGACTCATGGACTTGTTTTCTGGGTGAGTTAATGGATGGAGTTTGTTGTTCTAACCTCGCCCTCCCTCTTTACTGCTGAAGGAATCCAGCCCCGAAACAAAGAAACTCTCTTCTTGTGGCTTCCGACAGTGATTCAGCACAAGTTCCAGGGCATGCAAACCTTGACTGTGCTTTTCCAGCTGGTTTGGGAAGCAGTCAAAGCAAGTGACTGACTAATGCGTGCCAGCTGCCCTGGGTGAGAAGCTCTGCTTCACCTTATTTGCACTCAGTGATTCCTAACGAAGGGCAGACAGGAGGGACACAAGTGCATAAACCCACTGCTGCATGGGTGAGGTCCACTAGCCCATCTAGTAGCACTGAGACCACTTACAGCAGGGCTATTCAACTTTGGAAGCCCCAGGAGCCACAACGATACTCACAGCACATGCCACGGGCCACAACTTAAGTGTGGTTGCATACACATGCAAATATATATGCAAATAGCTTATTTCACACAGACAGGCATAAAAACAAAAGTTAAGGCAAGACTACACAACACACAGGCCCCATTTAAGTCAGTTCTACTGATATTAATAAAATGCAATATTGACCGATTTTCACCCATAGGACAGAACTTTTAATGAGCAATGACAGCCCAGGAATTTAACTAGTAAAACTCATACAAACAGGAGACCATTATATAGACTATTTTTTTGTTTTGGCTTCCGCCTGCGGGTTGCGTGTTGAGTAGCCCTGACTTACAGAGAGAAGAATGAGTCTGCTCTACAGCTATAGCTGAGAGCCAGCTGGCTTTTAGCTCATGCAATAGAGGCTCATGCACTAAGCTCCAGATGCCCCAGGTTCAATTCTGCCTGTTAGTGTTACACCTGCTCGGGGTCATGGAAACACAAAGAAACCAATGAACAATGTATAGCTGTTTCATCCCATTGTCCGGCTTACCAGCTTTAAAATAGGGCGATTTTATTACAGAATAAGACTCAACCCAAGTTCTGGCTTTTCTCCTTCCACAGCAACTCAGTGGAGAAATCTCTAAAGCCAGGGAAGGTTAGTTTTGCTCTTCTTCTGGTCTCAGAGCAAGGAGGAGGAGAATATGACTCCCTCAGTGTGCTCTCATTATAACCTTTCAATCAAGCACTGAAAAGTCTGTTCCTCAGAAATATACCTCTCCAGAGGGGAACGGGGTGGAGGAGGAATACCTGCCCAGTGCAGGGATTGAATGTGTTAATTAGTGTTTGCTTTAATTTTGTCCATATTTGTGCAGAATAAATTTTGTAATGTGCACCCAGGCATGTGGGGATGTGCACCACCAGTAGAAACACATGCTGCCAGCTGTGGGCGCTCTGCTAATCAGCTGGGCATTTGAATCTCTCCTGGGAGGCTGCCCAAGTGCCCGGCTCACAGGAATACCCGTTGGCCTATATTAAAGTGCCTTCCGCCCCTCATTCCTATGGGCTCAATTGTGCCAGTGCAGCACAGATCTGCTTTAAAGAGTTGCAGGCTGCACCAGCTCAGCAGGGGCGGCCCTCTACATGTGCCCTTGAAGACGGAGCAGCCTAGTCCCAGCTGTGCCCTGGGTTTGCTCTGGTGTGTGGTCCCCAGCTCTTTCCACTTTTGGGCCCATGCCTGTGTCAGCTCATCACCGTCTCCATCCTTGGGAAAAAGTCCTTTAACAGCCGTTTGCAAACTTTTTTTTCTCATGACCCAGTTGAAGAAAATTGTTGATGTCCCCGACCCAACATCATGTGACCAGAATGTGGGCTCCAGGGTGGAGCTGAGAACGGGAGCTTCGGGCTGTGCCTCTCCTGGCCCCACAGACCATGTTCCCAGCCAATGGGAGTGCAGAGCTAGTGCTCAGGGTAGGGACAGTGCATGGAGCTCTGTGTGCTCCCCCCCACCCCGCATAGGAGCTGGGCCTGCTGCCGATTGCTTCTGGGGTGCAGCACAGTCTGCGGTGCCAGGCCAGGCAGGGAGCCGCCTTAGCCCCCCCATTGCTCGCCTGATCCCCCTGCAGCAACGAACCCCTGTGCCTGACATTCCACCGCCCAGTCCTGGACCACGACCCGGAGTTTGAAAACCACTGGACTATAAAATTCCGTAGGCATTTTTGCTCTGTAGCATTTTATGGAGATTAACCGAGGGGCTGTTAGACACTGAGACCCATTCGCTGCAATGGGAGCTTTGCCTGAGTGGCAATCAATTCAGGATTTCAGCATTCAGTCCCTTGGGAGCAAAGCACTTCAACACCCTGGAAGCAGCATGCAGCTGAAAGGGTGGGCTGTTGGTCAGAGATCTCTGTGGGGATTAAGGGAAAGAAATCCTCCGATTAGTCTATGGAGCAGCCAGAGCTGCCAGCTCCTCAGCATGGTTGTAGACCCAGGCCTGTCCAAAACCTTCTGCCTAGTGCATTTGAGAGGGGAAGCTGGGTTCTTTCCTGGCTTGCATGCGTCATTGCAGATCTGTGAACACGGGGATGATGTTTTGGATAGTGGATCAGATTTGCAAAAGTGCTTGTGTACTTCTGCCTGCACCCTTTTTAAAAAAAAAAAAAAAAACACATGCAGACTCTTAACTTCCATACAGAGACGTATCTGCATGGGCAACACACACACGCTTCTATGAGGGATGTGCACATCCAAGTTTGTGTGTGAGCGCATTAGGATTTGTGCAGCGCAAGTCACCTGAGTGAAAAAGTGCACAAGCACATCCAAAAATCTATCCCAACTGGATTCTCAAATTGCTGGTGAAGCATGTGTTTCTAGTGACTGGAAAAAGACAGTTTTTTACTTTTAATTTCATAAACTGGACTGGGAAAGTCACATGGAGAGAAGAAAACCAAAAGTCCATAATAATATTTTTATAATCACTTTCCTGGAAGTGGTTTCCCTTATAAATCTAGTGTAGAAACTCGAGAGGGGTTTGAACCACACTCCCGGCTCCAAACACCCCCCAAACTTTAGAGTGTTCAAAATCTAGAACTGATTTTCTTGGATGCCCCCAGATCTATAATGGGCCAAATGAGTATCTCATAGGCAAGCACATACAGGAGTTTAAATTCTGCATTTGTATCCAAGTGTGGTTCAAGCCCAACCCTGCTAGAAAGCACTGATCAATAATGTTCTCAGAAGTGCTGACCTGGTGGAAGGTGGTGTTGTACAGAGCACCGCATAATGGTGCATCATGGGTCGCCAGCATTTCTTCCTCCGGACTGACATGTGCGAGCTTCAACAATCCAATGTAATCAGCACAGGAGACTAGGAGGAGGTGGGGAGACTGCTGGATGAGCAAGAAGGGAAAATCCCCCTGCTCTAGGATCTGTTCTGGTTCGACATAGGGGAACTTGAGCGCCAGTGTCTGCAGACAAGCCTGTGAGGAAATATCCCAGACTTTCAGGACCTGAGAAAAGGAGAGAAGCTGGGATTTATGTATGTGCCAGGGTTGCTGTTTGCTAGTGGTGGCTTCCAGGGGCTCTGTGTACTCCCGAATTTTGGAAAAGGTCAAAACTGAACTTTGTGACTCAGGAAGATCTTTTCTATTTACCATGGAGCGATGCATGATTGTGCCTTGTGATTTTTTTTTATTGTCACTTATGTGCTTCCTTCCACACCCCATCTTCTGGCAGAGTTAAGGGCACTGCCAAAGTGAGTCCAGTTGCAATAAATTGCATGTTTAAAAGTCTCAGAGGGGTAGCTGCATTAGGCTATAACTTTAAAAACAGTAAGTAGTCCTCTGGCACCTTAGAGACGGCTTTCGTGGGCAAAATCCACTTCATCATCTGAAGAAGTGGGTTTTGCCCAGGAAAGCCATGATATTATATATGTATATTTGTTAATTTCTAAGGTGCTACTGGACTAATAAATTACATGCACATTGAGACTTTCATCTGAGCTTTACAAAATGCATCATAATCATTAGTAGAACAGGGAAAATAATGGTTTTTGGTTTGTTGGCAATTTCAAAAGTTAAAAAAAAAAGATTTTTTTGAGTTGATATGAAAACTAAAAGTTTTACCATTTTCAACAAACCAAAAATTAAAAGCAAAAAGATTTTGTGTCAAACAAAACTCTTTGATGTTTTGCTTGTATTCTGACCATTTCAAAATGTCAAAGTGAAGTATTTTATATTTGTCCTCCCCCCTCCCCACCGCCAAAAAACCAAACAATTCTATTAAACAAACACCATTTCGCAAAGTGCTTTGGAGTCACTGAATTTGGCCAAAATAGTTCACACGGCTTCAAGGCTGGATCTATCTGTCTGTCTGTCTGTCTGTCTGCAAGTCCATTTGTTCAAGAACACCCCCTAAATAGTAAGAGCTAGGGCCACCAAATTTGGTAGGCAGGTACCTTTTCTCCTGACTGAAAGCAAGATCAGGGCATGGCAGTGCTGGGAGAACTGGAAGCTGCAGGAAAGCGACAGTTTTCCAGAACATGCACAGGGAGAGGCTGTTTGGAGGGAACGTCATATGAGAGTAGCCACGGGGGACAGCAAGTCTGCAGGGCAGAACTATTCTGAAAAGTGATCACTGGGGGCAGCTGTACCACCAAAGATATGGCCAGTAGGGCTGGGGCATCTCCATCTTGCTTGCCAGCACACCAATGAGTAGCCACCTGGCCCCAGACCTTTCCCCCCCATCCTTGGCTGCAGTGCTGAGGGGGAGGAGAGAATAGATTCCTCACAGCTGGTGGAAGGGTTCGGGGGGTGGGTGGGAAGAGAACAGGTCCCTGGTGGGCTGGGGGGCTGCCTGGGGTGGGGAGAGAACAGACCTCAGGCAGGCAGAGGGGCTATTGGGAGAGGGGAGAACAAATCCCTCGCCCCATCCCCAAAATGCCAAGGTAAATCGGCTAGTGCTTGTATGTGTCTGGAAGGGCAGACTAGTAGTCTGTTCTCTGTTCCACAGCCTCATGCACCACTGAAAAACCCTTGCTTACTAGCCCTGATTTTTAGGAAAATGGCAGATGGTAATCATCTCTGCTGTCGCTAGTCCCACTGCCCACCTATGGCAAAGGTACATGCATTTCTTGTTTTCAGCACTTCATTTGGCTTAGAATTATTAATTGCTGAGAAATTTCTCCCCCTCTTTTAATTGCCTGAAAAAAAAAATTCAAAGTACCATAATAGCAACCACCTCCAAAGGCAAGAGATGAAAGAAATGGATGGAAGCCAGGCCCGGTGACGGGGCGGAGGATGGAGATTCAATGGAGCCTGGAGTTCAATGGAGCCTGGAGTTCAATGGAGCCTGGAGTTCCCGGCCACTGCCACTGTTACTGTGGCAACGACAGAGGCTGGAGCCCCGGGCGCCTTTGCATTGTCACTGGAGTGCGGCTCCGAGAACAGGGGGGACTGACTCCCCTTGGCCCTGACCCTTCTACTTGAGGCCACACCCCTTCTGGGGCACAGAGACGCCCCCCCACACCTTGCCTGGGGCCCCACTGGTGGAAGCGCATGGGTTTTACAATCCAGCCACAACCGGGCCTCTTTGGACACATAATGCCCCTTACGTGCTGACTCAGGCATTTATTCAGTCATGACTCAGTTAAAAGAGCGCCCCCTATTGAATCCCCACCCTTCCTGCTGCAGCACCTCCATGTTCTTTGTCTCAAACATCCGTCCGGCATGGTGCACATTGAACAAGCGAACAAGAGGCTAGCACAAATCTGACCAACCGAGTCCTTGGAATAGCTGAATACGTGTCCTCGGGGCTCGTGGATGGCCACTGCCAGAATTGCTGCATGATGTCCCTGCAAGGTCGCCGTTGGCCAGCTCGGGACATATCGGTTCCAGAGTTGCACGGCATGATCCGCTCCTCCGGTCACCAGCAGATTCAGGGATCTGCAGTAGTCGAAGCATTTTACGCCCTAAGAAAAACCAGGAAAAAAGCAATCCATGTTTTGCAAATGTTTATACTGTCTATGCAAAGCATCTGTGGATTGAGGCTGTGCCGCGCACGGAGGACTGACTAGGAAGAGACTCAGAGCCTGTCTACTCTTAAAGCACTGCCTCGGTATAGCTGCACCAAGGCAGCGACTCCACTGTTGTGCTTAAGTGAAGATGCTCTGTGCCAATGGGAGAGTCAGTCCCCATTTGCATCATTAATTCACCTCACTGGCAGTGGGTACCTATGTCAGCAGGAGAATTTCTCCTGCCAACACAGGGCTGTCTACACAGGGGACATAGATCTGTAGAACTATGTTGCTCAGGGGTGTGGATTTTTCACACCCCTGAACTACATAGCTATAGGGAAACAATTCTGTATTGTAGACCTAGCCTCAGACAACGTCAAAGCACATGAAAGAACCTAGGTTACGTCTATGAGAAGAGTTTTCTCAGCAAAAAAATGCTAAGGAGGGACTTGTTTGCATGAGTCGTGATCTCATTTGCATATTTTCTGCCAATCCAGTTTTTCGCTAGGGTTTGAATGTTTCCTTTTTGGGCAAAGACCCCTTTTTCTGTGGGAAAAGGGTTTTTTGTGCAAAACGGAAACGTCCATACTGCTTGTTTTTCCACAAAAACCCTAGCGAAAAACTGGATCGGCAGAAAATATGCAAATGAGATTGCGAATCATTCAAATGAGTCCCCCATTGGCATATTTTTTGCCAAGAAAACTCATAGTGTAGATGTAGCCTTAATGCACATCAGCAGAGTCTACCAGGACCAATTAGCAAGCAATGTTTTGTGTGTTTTAGAACTCACCTTACCCCATCCTGTAGACAAGCCCTCAGGAATGAGGCCTTTTCCCCTTTTCATATTTCAGTTTTGCAATTCATAGAATCATAGAATAATAGGACTGGAAGGGACCTCGAGAGGTCATCGAGTCCAGCCCCCCGCCCTCAAGGCAGGACCAAGCTCCGTCTACACCATCCCTGACAGATGTCTATCTAACCTGTTCTTAAATATCTCCAGAGAGGGAGATTCCACCACCTCCCTTGGCAATTTATTCCAATATTTGACCACCCTGACAGTTAGGAATTTTTTCCTAATGTCCAATCTAAACCTCCCCTGCTGCACTTTAAGCCCATTACTCCTTGTCCTGTCCTCAGTAACCAAGAGGAACAAATTTTCTCCTTCCTCCTTGTGACACCCTTTTAGATATTTGAAAACCGCTATCATGTCCCCCCTTAATCTTCTTTTTTCCAAACTAAACAAGCCCAGTTTATGAAGCCTGGCTTCATAGGTCATGTTCTCTAAGCCTTTAATCATTCTTGTCGCTCTTCTCTGTACCCTTTCCAATTTCTCCACATCTTTCTTGAAATGTGGCGCCCAGAACTGGACACAGTACTCCAGCTGAGGCCTAACTAGTGCAGAGTAGAGCGGCAGAATGACTTCACGAGTTTTGCTTACAACACACCTGTTGACACAACCTAGAATCATATTTGCTTTTTTTGCAACAGCATCACACTGTTGACTCATATTCAACTTATGGTCCACTATGACCCCTAGATCCCTTTCCGCCATGCTCCTTCCTAGACAGTCGCTTCCCATCTTGCATGTATGGAACTGATTGTTCCTTCCTAAGTGGAGCACTTTGCATTTCTCTTTATTAAACCTCATCCTGTTTACCTCTGACCATTTCTCTAACTTGCTAAGGTCATTTTGAATTATGTCCCTATCCTCCAAAGAAGTTGCAACCCCACCCAGTTTGGTATCATCTGCAAACTTAATAAGCGTACTCCCTATCCCAATATCTACATCATTGATGAAGATATTGAACAGTACGGGTCCCAAAACAGACCCTTGTGGAACTCCATTTGTTATCCCTTTCCAGCAGGATTTAGAACCGTTAATAACAACTCTCTGACTACGGTTATCCAGCCAATTATGCACCCACCTTATCTTGGCCCTATCTAAGTTATATTTGCCTAGTTTATCAATAAGAATATCATGTGAGACCGTATCAAATGCCTTACTAAAGTCTAGGTATATGACATCCACCGCTTCTCCCTTATCCCCAAGGCTCGTTATCCTATCAAAGAAAGCTATCCGATTAGTTTGGCATGACTTGTTCTTCACAAACCCATGCTGGCTATTCCCTATCACTTTAGTACCTTCCAAGTGTTTGCATATGATTTCCTTAATTACCTGCTCCATTATCTTCCCTGGGACAGACGTTAAAATTCAGATAGCAGCAGTTGTTACTTTTGTATTCTCGATTAATACAGAGAGGATTCTGGGAATAATTTAGAGTCACAAAGATGATCTTAAATATTATCATTCAAAAATGCACTTTCCCCCAGTCTCACATAATCTATTCAGACACACAGAGGAAACCTTTGCACTTTGCAATTAGGATTTCTGGCTGGATAGGAGGGCTTCAAGTCTTTCTTTCCATGACTACATTTTTCTGTGACTGTAGGCCTGTTTTGATTTCAGTGTTGCGGCATTTTGTTTGACGAGCCGACTGCAAAAACCACAATGAACAGAATGGAGCTCATTTAGATACTTCCAAAGATTTGATTTCAAATTCTATTTTCCCTGAATTTCATTAAGCAATTCTATCAGCAGCCCTGTCCTTGTCCTCTCCCCCGGCACTCACAATTCCCCATGGGAAGCAGGGGAAGCTGCCTGGGGTTCTCACCTCCCGGTTCCCCTAAAATACATGTCTCCTGTCTACTGAAAAAGGACAGGAAAAGACTGATAAATTTGCAACCCTGTGGAAAGGAAGAATGACCCTGAGGATACTAGCCAGGAGCTGGAGAGATCCAGATTCAATCCCCTGTTCTGTCATCGATTACCTATGTTACCTTGGATGGGATCCACAAAGGTGCCTGGGTCTTAGGTTTGCTAGTCTCCAGTCTGAGTCTCACAACTCCTGCTGACCCCTGGAGGTGTCTAAAGTCACTTGGGGGGCAGCTACAGTTTTGGGGTAAAGGTTTCCTTGGCGCCTGTGTTTCTGCCTCTGAGCATGCATGTAGCCGCCTCGCTCTCCATGTGTAAATGCCTGTCTCCTATCTAAATCCCTGAGTGACCCATGGACCAGGGAAAAACAGGCATTCGCTCACTCATTTCTTGGGGCCTACTCCAGTAGGCCATCTCTGGGCGTGCTACTGGACCAGACCCCATTCAAAATCTGGTGTTGGGGTCTATCTTACAATTTTTAGCCCAGAGGTGAAAGCACCCACCCAGGACATGGGAGACCTGGAGGCAATTCACCCCTCTGCTGGAGGGGCAGAAAGAAATTGAACAGGAATTCAATTCATTGTGTGAAGAAGTACTTCCTTAAAACAAACAAAAGAAAGGACAGGCTGAACCTCTCTAGTCTGGCATTCTCTGGTCCGGCAACATCTGTGGTCCGGCATCATTTTAGTTAGCCGGATGTCCACTTACCATGAGTATGGCTAAGTTTCCCATGGTCCCTTAAAGTTTTGTTTGTTTGTTTGTGTCAGTGTTCTGTGCTGTTATTTAGCTCTAATTTACCCCTAAATGTCTTCTAAGACCCCAGCAAGCAGTGGAAGTGTTGGTAGTGGTACTAAACAACATTGGCTCTGTGGTTCAGCAAATTCTTTGAGTTTGACATCGGTCAGCTCCAGAGGGTGCTGAACTAGAGAAGTTCAACCTGTACTTCTTCACACAACGCACAATCAACCGGTGGAAGTCTTTGCTAGAGGATGCTATCAAGGCCAAGACAATAACAGAGCTCAAAACGAGTGAGATAAGTTCACAGAAGATCAGTCCATCAACGGCTGTTAGTCAGGATGGGTAAGAATGGTGTCCTACCCTCTATTTGTCAAGACACTGGGAATGTGTGACAGGAGGTGGCTCACTTGAGGATTATCTGTTGTGTTCATTCCCTCTGGAGAATCTGGCATCGGCCACTGTTGGCAGACAGGATACTGAGCTAGATGGACCTTTGGTCTGCCCCAGTATGGCCATTCTCATGTTCTTAGGGATTACCCCCCTCCCTTGGAGTGTGTTCTAACCACTGAGCAACGGGACCTTTTGACACGTCTCCTTTTCAGAGACAACGAGAATGATTCTGTAGCCTGGTACTTTAGGCACCAACATGGGCTGTGGGCCACCTAAGACCCAGCCCCTCTGCTCCAGTCTCTTCTTTCCTTGCAGCTCCATGTGGCTCTAGGCCTTAGTCTCGCTGTATCTCAGTTCCTACCGGCATTGGAGGTAATAGACCTGGCCTACCTCCTGAGGTGTTGTGAGGCTGAATACACTAAAGATTGGAAGGTGCTCAGATACTGGGGTAAGGGGAAGGGGATGAGTACCCAAGAGAGTTCAGAAGAGATGAGAAACTCTGGTGAGCATCAAAACCGCCACATGGTAATATAAAGCATACCTGACTGTGACCTTTTTGCCTGACTCTTAGGAGATCTGGAATAAAACCACTGGCCAGAGGTTGGGGAGTGGAGCTTGGAAAGACAGACCCTACCTTCTTGATTTTCCAGGTGTAAACTTTTCTCTTTCTGTGAACATCCATGATCACCACAGAGGTCTTGGGACTGCCTGAGGATGTGATGATGAGCTCTCCCTCTGCTACATACTGGATTTGGGAAACAGCTTCCTTGTGCACCTCTGGGATGGCTTGATATAGCAGGAACTTACTGTGCTCTTTAATTTCCTGGGGGAAAACAAGGGATTTAAATGTCACAAGGCTAATTCACCCCCCAATTGCCCGTTGCAATGCAAACGGAGGTGGCATGCCCAAAGACGGGTTGCAATATCAAAAGACATGTAGGCTTTAGCAGAGAAGTTTGAATGAGCCCTGAGCCTAATGCTATAACATTTACGATGGCATGCCAACCCAACAGACTATTTTGTCCCAGGGCAGTGTGATTAATGACTTGATGATGGGATTAAAGATGAGCCCAAGATGCACAGTTCAGATCCAGAACCAAATGTCTCCAGGCTTCGGGCACGAAAGGGTTGGCATGGGACAGTTGTTACATTCTTGTCCACCAGATACAAACCCGTGATGGTTGCCTCAACTTGAAAACAGTTCGTTGGGAAGGATTTCTCTAGTTCCCTCTGTCCCCACTCCCTATGTGCTAAAAATAACCCACAACGTCTCTATTTATAACCGAGAACAGCAGCAAGAAATGCTGCTCACGTGCTTGGGCGCTATTGCAGCCTCAAATTCTTTGACATATACCTAAGGCAGTGAAAGCATTTTACAGTCTGAAAGCGAGAGATGCTCCTCTAATTTGTGGATGCTCATAGACTCAGCCTTTTATCTCAGCCCACAAGCAGCATCCAAGGCTATTTTCTTTAAATATATGTGAATTTACCTTGGGCAGCTTTCACATTTTGAAGGGAACCATTTTCTTTTCTTTCTTTTTTTTTAAATAAAGAATTTGGTTATTGCTACACCTGCCCAGCTCTGTAGAAATTAATATTTCACAACACCGAATTCCCCCACCCTTCCACTATTTGCAGATGCTGAGATCTGAGATTAGTGTATAGCACACAGGTGTGTGTGTGTGTGTGTGGGGGGGGGGTTTAAGAGAGCCCTTGGCACTATTTGTTTGAGAAGATTCCCTGTTTGTCCTCCTCATACTACCCACAAACATACTGCTATGAGAGGACTTCTCTGGTTGGGGACAACTGGACTTGGCTCATGGCACAGTGGAGATGTGATGTTTCAGTTACCCATGGGCTCGTAGGTCACGTCAGCTAAGAGAGTGGAGGCATTCTACACAGACAACGGGGTGTGTAGGGGAAAATCATGAGCAGAGGCGTTAAAAAAGCACCTTGGTAGACTTGAGGAATTGTGTTGCCTGTGTGAGCTGGGTCCAAATCCTGTATCCCTTGGATACAGGTCAGTGCTATTCTCGCTTTGGCAGCTAGGCAAGCCCTGCAGTAGAACGGACCTACAGAGAAATCCTGAGGGAGGTGGGAAGCATTTGGTACTCATTAGCACAGGAGTGTTAATTTACCTCAGGGCCAATGTCAGTCCTCAAATCCTTCTAGTAGGGCACCCCCCTGACAGCAGCTTGAAGGGGTGGACTCTACCGCTAGGTCTACACTGCTGGCTAGAGTATGCAAATGAAGCACTGATTAGCATTTCATTGCACTTCATTTGCATAATCTATTCGAGCGGTTTTTGTGCAACACCAAGCAGTGTGGACGTTTCATTTTTGTGCAAAAACCCCATGTCCACACTGCTTGGTGTTGCACAAAAACCGCTCGAATAGATTATGCAAATGAAGCCCAACAAAATGCTAATCAGCGCTTCATTTGCATACTGTCTGCTGGCAAAAGCCGGCAGTGTAGACCAAGCCTACGTGTTTGTTCCCCTGCCGCCCGCCGGTGTCTCCCAGGCCCATCTGCAGGCTTGTGCGCTCCTTTCTCCTAGTCTCACCTGCTGCCCCAGGGCAATTTAATTTCCGTCCTCCCTCGCCACGTGCCTCCTGGCAGTGCAGTGAGGCTAGAGTGGCTTCTGGCTGCCAGCTCCGTGCTGCTGCCGGCATGCTCCTGTGGCCCCGGGGGAGGTGTGTGCAGAGCTATCTCATCCATAAGCTGCTGTGGTGAAGCGGAGAAAGCAGGCTGGCCTGGTAGGTGACGGCAGAACATTTCTCCGTGGCTCCCGTTGCCGTGGTGAGTGCAGGAGACCCGAACCCACGCCAGCCCCCGCCCCCAGCTATCCTGGAGGCCATGTCCCTTGTGGGAGGGGACTTGAGGGAAGGGTGCAATGGCAGGAGAGAGGCAGGTGGGACAGAGAAGGGGCTGACCTAAACTGGGCCCTCTTCCCTGGCCTTGGTTCTGTTTTCTATGGCATCTGAAAGAAGGTCAGTGACAAAGGAGAGCTGGGCCAGTGAGAACTTAGCCCCATCTTGGAAGGCGCCTTTCCGCTCCCACCTGCATGAAGACTCTCTGTGGCCCGGATTGATCTGTGAAGGGCTTTTCAAAGAGGCCCAGATCCGGGCGCAGCAGCCAGAGCAGGTGAACGCCACCGCGGTCATCTCCCCAGAGCAGCAAGGAGCGACCCCCTGAGGACTGGCAGGGAAACAGAAGCAGAAAGGAGGAGGGAGACCTTGGGATTCGCCTGGAGAAGCGGAGGATGTTCTCTGTCCGCTCCATCTGCCCCCGGTTAATAGCTGATGGAACATGCACTGAATTTAGTTGCGCTTGAGTCACTGCTGAAAACCCAGCTATGTCCCCGCTGGCCAAAGCCACGCCTCAAGTAGGGGGGCTGTGTGCACCTTGGGGATCCCTGCAAAGAGTTCTGACACAGCATACCCCTCCCCCCGGGTCCAAACACACCCATGCCATGCCCCAAACTCACTGCACGTGAGTTTGCCTGGATCTAGCAACTGAGGTTTGGATCCGGCCACTGAAGCTCAGTGCGCCCACCCGTGTGTGGGGAGTCTGCACTGGTCCTCCAGCCTCCCCAATGCCCCCCACGTGGAGCTGGAGCACACAATATCTACTAGCCTGCTCCCCCTCCTCCCCCCGCCAGGCTCTGGCGTGGACAGGGAATGTGGGGAGCGTTTTTC